TACCAAATGGCACAGCCAACGATATAAAGAAATGTGAGACAGAATTGTTGTCTGCAAGAAACTTACAAAATAAACAGGAGACTAAAAAGCAATTATAAAAATAAAATAACAATAAATGTTACAAAGTAATATAACTTCTGAGTAGGAAATACAACACATACTTTGGATGTACAGGAGGAAGTGCTCCCTGTAGGATGGAGTCGTGTCAAGGACACCGGCCTTGATCAGCTACAACCTGGAAAGAAGCTTGGGGAGCCTGGGGGAGGCGGGGGGGGGGAGGAGGGACGAGGACTTGGCAGACAGAGCAGTAATGTGGGAAAGCCAAGAGAGAGGTCTGACCAGAAGAGAGAAAATTAGCTGGTCTGAAGAAAAGAACCTGTGCTAAGAACTCTGGAAAAGAATTTGAAAAACCGATGGTGAAAGTCTGCCAGGAAGGATTTTTGAACAGGGGAATGACATGATGAAAGAGTTGTTTTAAGATCAATCTCAATATATGAAAATGCTGTGATCCTGGACAGGAAGGCTGAACATTATAATGCTGTCAATTCTACCACAAATAAGTTCTAGGTTTAAAGTCATTTCAACTTAAATCCCAAGGTTACTTTAAGATTATCTGGAATAAATGGGCACGGACAATGAAGAAACTGTAAGAAAAAAAGAAGAAAGGATATTTGCCTACCTGATTTAAAAAGACATAATAGTACAGCTAGGACAGAAGATTAGATGACCACATTAAAAGAAAGAACGTGAAGTATAGAGAGAAGTGGGTCATAATCTATAATTATGAAATAATATACCCCAAGGTGGCATTTGCATTTCTTCTCTGGTAATGTCCTTAGCCCATTTTTTTTGTTGTATTGGGTTATTCACTATTTTCTTATTTATAAAAGCTCATGTATTCAGAACACTAACCCTTTGTTAGTCAAGTATGTGGTCTTTTGTGGGGAAGCACTGGACTTGGTTGTAATGTCTGTAAGGAGGATTCTCCGAAAGGTCGGGGGTCTCCGAGGGAAACTTGATGAAGGCAGCAGCCTCTACTTTGACTTTTCCAAACAAGTCTGACCCCCCAGGTGTTTTACTAGAATCTTTATGTTTAGACTTCAAAACATCCTTGTTTAAAAGACACTACAGTTGCAGGCACTTTCTCAAGGATGCTTACCCTGCTGATTGTATCTAAAGGTTAATTTTAGTTCAAGCTGTTGTGACAATAAAAGCCTAAAGGAGGCAGGTGAACAGGGCCGTTTGCTCCTAAAGCAAGCAGCCCCTTAGCCCTCTCTTTCACAGAAACGTGTGTCAGAATAATCTTTCATCTGTCATTCAGGGTCTGCCAGTCAGCTCTGGCAGTCTTTTAATGTTCTTTGATATACAGAATATTTAAATGTTTTATTTGATGAAATTATACCAACCTTTTATGTTACAGTTTCTACTCCTGAGTTAGGGGATATAACTTAGAATACTTCTATTATATTCTAGAATTTTAATTTATTTTTTACATTAAAATGAAATTAATTTTATTGTAAAGAATGAGATGGAGATGTAACTTATTTTCGTAATGGTTTGCAACTGATTTAAAAATATCCTTTTCATGCCCTAACCGGTTTGGCTCAGTGGATAGGGCATCGGCCTGCAGACTAAAAGGTCCCAGGTTCGATTCCGGTCAAGGGCATGTACCTGGGATGTGGGCACATCCCCAGTTAGGGGCGTGCAGCAGGCGGCTGGTCGATGTTTCTCTCTCATCGATGTTTCTAACTCTCTATCCCTCTCCCTTCCTCTCTGTAAAAAATCAATAAAATATATATTAAAAAAAATAAAAATATCCTTTTCATATATTTAATTATTTATTTGGGCTTGTTCCTATACTTCTTTTGTTCCACTGACCTGTCACTTTCTGCAATAATACCACACTTTACAATTTTTAACACTTTAGAATATATTTTAATATTTGACAACACAAAGCCCACGTCCTAGGATAAAAATGGGAAAAAAATTCCAATATTTTATTCGCCTTAGGCCCAAAGTCTACTTTGATAGAATACTATGTTCTTATTTAAAAAAACACTCATATTAGAGTTTGTAAAGCACAGGCTAAAAAAATGTGTCAAACAGCCTGGCTGGTGAAGCTCAGTGGTTGAATGTGGATGCATGTACCGAGAGGTCCCAGGTTCAATTCCCAGTCAGGGCACATGCCTGGGTTTTGGGCTCCTTCCCCAGGATGAAACTGCAGGAAGCAGCAGATCAATGTCTCTTTGTCATTGATATTTCTCTCTCTCTCCCCCTCTCCCTTTCTTTCTCTTTAAAATCAATAAAAACATTTTTTAAAAAAAGTTTCAGTTAAATTATTAGTGCTAAAATTCTCTTATAAAATCATATGATAATGTTTGACAGGATATGCAAAACCCCTTGTTGTATAAGAAGAGCTACACATTGCCCCAGGGTTACCCTTTCCTGTGCAAAGCTGGACCTTCAGACTGATACACTGCATTAGGCTGAGCTGTCAGGCTGCAGATACCTGAGCATGTCCTTCTGTGCCTGCTCTGGGGACTCCGTGTCATCTGAGTTGCACTCCCAAGTCCACAGGCTCCCTTAGAGTCTTGGTACCTGGGAATACGCTGTGGTAGCACACCTCTGTGCTGTGACCTGGAGTTTGTTTCCAGTGATAGACAGAAACCCAAAGTGGGACACACAGGCTCCCCCTAATGGCTTTTTCCTGCTAAAACATCGCTCATCATAGTTTCCCAAAAGATCTTGGCTCTTCTAACTTGTTTATTCTTCTGGACCGGAGGATGCACATAACTCTCCGTAGTTAGGGGAGTTATGGTACATTAGAGGCTTTTACATAGACAGGCATTCCTCACTGTCTGAATGCTTGCTACATGTTACCTGAAACTCATGGACCAAATACACTTGGATAACTGATAGCCTTCACCATCTGAACTCAGGAACTATAAAGACTCAGACAGTAAGGGAGCGATACAGTGAGTATCATGGGGACTAGGATATTTTGGGGAAGAGTCCATTGGTCTCCATCAATAGCTGAGATTAAGAACAATGAGGATAAGTAGCCCAGGGTCCTTCTACTGGGTCTAGCAGGCTGTCCTGACAAGACCCATAAGGCATTGAGGGGGTGGCAGAATCATCAAGATGATTCAGATCAGATCAGGACATGGGTGCACTGTAAGCCAAAAAGATTATTCTTTTGACTATTGGGGGGCTTTGAGTAGGAGAATCACATTTGTTTTCTGTGTTTTAAAGATCATTTTGGCTGCTGTGCAGATGAGGCTAGAATAGAAACTAGGAGACTAATAGTCCAGGCAGGAGATGATGGTGGTTTGGGATTGGATGGTAGTAATGGAGGTGGTGACAAGTAGTGAGGCTCAAGATGTATTCTGAAGTCACACTGAGGTCTGACTAATGTATTAGATGGGAAGTGAGGAGGAAAGTGAGGCACTGAGGGTGCCTCTAAGGTTTCTGGCCTGAGTAACTGGGTGAATGAAATGGGGCAGGCTGGTGGTTGAGCAGGTCTGGAGTGTGTGGGTCTATGAGGGGAAACAAGAGCTCTCTTTGGGACATCCTCAGTTTGAAATCACTCCAGGCATTGATAAAGTTGGTTATGAGAGTCTGGAGTTTGGGGAAAAGGTCAGAATGGAACTCCTCATCTTGCACTCCGTATATACACATACCAGCTGAATGAAATATTCAACTGCTTGACCTGTGGTTGCCACATGTTTTTGGCTGATGCTTTATTCACGTCACCACCTGGCTGGAACACCCTTTCAACCTTCTCTCGCTGACTGACTTGCCCTTTAAAACTAAGATCCACGTACTCGCCTCCAAAAAGCTTTCTGGGAACAGCAGGTTGCGTTGGGAGCCCCCATCTGTGCCTCAGTGGGCTAACCAGGTCAGAAGCGAGCTGCCCACTAGGTGCTCTGTACCCCCAGCTCTCGGTCCCGAGCTCGGCACATGGTAGGAGCTGTGCTCCTGTTTGAGGGAGGGGCGCGCTCAGAAGACTTGCTTCCCTTCCCTCGTGGAGAGAGCCTCTGAGGCCTTGGCTACTAAAGGTAGAGGAGGGGTGGTTCCAAAGAGTCACATTCCTCGGGGAAACTCCCCAAACCGCTCCCTGAGACCGAGCCGACCACTGCCCCCGCTCCCCGCACCTCTCCGACGGTTTCACAGCCGGCGAGCCGCGCCGGAGAGAAGCCCCGGAGCTCGCCTCCGCCTGCCCGGGCGCAGCACCCGCGTAGGGCAGGAGCCATGCGCTGCCCCCCGCAGGGGGAGAGGTCGGGAGTTCTCCCGGCCACTGCGGAATTGCCCCGGGGCCCCCGGAGGTGATCGCCGGGGCGCGAACTCCGAGGGGCCACACGCCGCTGAGCCAAGACCGTCCACGCGGCCTCGGCGGCTCGGGAGACGGGGTCCAGGCCCCCGAGGGGCCGCGCCCGAGTGAGGTCCAGGGCGGGACCGGTCTCTGCCGGCCCGCGGCCTGTCCCGCCCCCGCCCCCGCGGCACCAGGTACTCACCGTTGGGACAGGGCAACGCGTCCGCCGCCTCAGCCCCCCGGGGCCCTTGGGCGTCGCTGGCCGAAGCAGGCCGGGGCGGCGGCGCGCGCTCCGTGGCCGAGCTCTCGCCCATGCTGGCCGCTGCGCTCGCGCTGCCGGAAGCCCGCGGCCGCTCGAGTTCCCGAAAGCCCGGAAGGGCTCATCCCCACGCCCGGGGGTTTCCCCGAGGGCGAGAAGAAACGAAACCCAGCCGGTCCCGGGAGGAGAAACGAAACCCAGCCCCGGGTTTGCAGATCGGCTTCTCTGCCAGACAGGAGCCCTACCTTCTCCAGATTCGAGTTTGATTTTTTTTCTTTTAAATCCTCCTCCCAGGATGCAAGGGGCCAAAGCCGCTGTGTTCAGTTGGAGAAATGACCGCTTTTCCGAGAGGTTCACCTTTCTTTTAAAACTTTTATTAAATTGATATACTACACAGGCATATCATAAACGGACACAACGAATCGTAACTGCAGTTACCAGTTGCAAGCCTTTATTTAGCACCCATGGGGTACACAGCACCGTACAAGAGGAGGTTTTCAGTGCATGTTAACAAATATACCGGTAGAGAACATACAGTTGAAGTAAGTTGTTCTGGAAAAGAAGCACATAAGGTGAATTGCTGAGGAATTAAAAGAAAACTTCTGGAGATCTTACAATGTGAGCAAACTTTAAAGAGGAAAAGAGGCAAGTTGGGGACAGCAGAAAAGAGAATATTAAAAACGATAAGCTGGATAGTCTTGACAAATACATAAATAGATTGCAGAAGAGCATGGGGCTGCAAAACAGGAGAAAAAAAGGGAGGGACTCCTACAGCCAAGTTTATTGCAACTCAAGCAGGTGAATAGAAGAATTACAAGCACAACCCATTTTATTGCGCTTAGCTTTATTGCACTTTACAGGTGTTGAGTTTTGTGGGTTTTTTTTTTTTTTTTTTTTTTTTTTTTTTACAAATTGAAGGCAAGACCTTCCATCAGCAAAAAGATTACCACTTGCTTTACTATGATACTCGCTTCATTACGGTATATTACCAAACTGTAATATCTCAGAATTAGGCCTTTATTCCTTGCCAGGCAAACAGGAAGTCCTAAAGAAACTGAATTAGAGACTGAATAATTTAGCTAGCTAAGTCATTGTGAAGCATTTGAAAAACACCTTCCACCACTCTCAGTTTATCATTCTAGCATTTTAGTGTTCTACTCTTAAGCAGTAGTAGACCCTATCATCACTGAGGAAAGCCTGTAACACACACAAAAAAACAAAGGCCAAAGGAAACATATAGGGAAAACAAATAAATGAAACTTAGCGGTCACAAAAATATGCATGAAGAAAATATAAATGTATGTGTTCAAAGATATACTACAACCAAGAACCAAAAAAAGATACTATTAAAGAACATTCAGGGAAGAAAAAAGAGCCCTAGAAATAAAAAATCTGAGACCAGAAAAATAAAACATATTATACTAATTAGAAAATTAAGTTGATGAAGTCTTCTAGAAAGTAGAGCTAGAAGACAAGAGCTGGAAATTAAGAGAAAAGATAAGAAAATAAGAGAACCAATCCTGGAGGTCTACTATCTGGGTAACAGGAATTCTAGAATGAGAGAACAGATGAGCAGTCATTAAAGAAAATATTTCCCTGAAGGACAATGTTTGAAAGACCCCACCAAGCACCCCATATAAGGGATGAAAATGAACCCTTACCAGGAATAGAACATTGGACAAAGTAATACTATAAGCTTCTAGAGAGATAAAAACGGGTTGTATATACAAAAAGAACAGAATGGCATCTGACATCCAATAGTCACCCTGGATATCAAAGCAAGAATGTCTTCAAACTTCCCAGCAGCAACACTGAAAGTTTAGCAGATGCCTTCAAAATTGGGAATAAAGGCTACTCAAGAATTCTATACCTTGTCAAAATAGCAAACAAGTGTAGTGGTACAATATTTTCAAACATGCAAAGTCTCAAAATATTTACCTCTCTTTTTTCCTTTTCAAAAGGTATTGAAGGATGTGCTTCACCAATATGTGGAAGTAAACCAAGGAAACGGGAAATAATGGATATAACTGGAAACAGATTTGACACAGGAGAGAAAAAGGGGGTCTCTAGGACACTGATGGAAGATGATAGCTGTAAACCAACACAGACTGAAGCAGATTAAGATACCAGGATTTCTACACAAAAATATTTCCCATGCTGATCAAGTGTCTTCACTTCATTTTAGTGCAATGCCTAAAATTCCTGCTATCTTTACTGTGAATAAATGGACTGCTCAACTTTTCTCATCAATCTACAGGCTGTTGAGTTATAATTTTTTGCTTTCTTCCTCGTTCTTTGGTTCCCCATGCTCTAAAACAATTTCAAGTTAAATTTTCACCTAGTTCAGTATTTTAAAGAAATTAAATTGGGTCTAAACTTAGAATGAACTTTGAAAGGTAACCAAACTAAACCCCTCAAGTTCAGAAAAAAAAGAAAACCCAAAAAACAACATGATCTCTCAAAAATGAGATCTTTTAATTACTCCTTTTTGAGCTAGTATTCCCATCCTGGTTTCAAGGGGGTAAGTTCCTGACAGCTGAATATACAGTACAGTACATCTTTGTTAAGGATAAATTAGTTTTGACTATTGGAGATTTCCAGCCCCCTTTCCACTAGGTCATCGCTAGGTAACCTTCCCTTTTTCTCTAGAAAACCAATTTGCACAACATGCTCAGGAGAATGCAAAAGGATGTTTCAAACTTGAAGCTCAGTTCTGTTTTGTTTTGTTTTTTACATGAAACTCTTGCCCAGCACAATCTCTTCTAGTCTAAATAAGCCAACTCTGACTAATTTCCTGTTTTCTTTTTCTTATGGCTCAATCTAGAACAAATATCTTCCAATTTCTCTAGGTTTCTATTCCCTCTTTTCCTGTCTGTGTTTGTATTAAAGGAACAACGAGAATCTATTGGAAAGCAGTTTCACCTCAAAGAGTTTGCCGAACTCTTCTCTATTGAAGGGCTTCTCACCCTTTCTCACTCAAGTGGTTTAATTCGACAGTACTTTGTGGAGCTATATTCCTCACGCTATTGCCAGGAATTAAACATAAATAAATTTTGTAGGTAAAGTCATGAAATGTGGCCATTTGGATCCATGAACTCAAAGACAATAATAAAAAAACACAAGAACAACAATTATATTGTAACATTTGTTTCTCTTAATATATAGCTTACAAATAAATTACAAGTTATATAGCAGTATTTCATAGAAAAGACACACTTCCATCTTACTCATGTAAAGTTGAATAACGGCAAGAATCAAGAGATACCCTATGTGTATGAAACTGTCCTTATTTTGTTCCTAGCATTTCTAAGTCACACAAATGAACTCCCTGACAAGAGCAGACTGAGGAATTCTCTTCATGAATCAAAAACTAAATTCCACTGACAACTGAGCATTCTTTTCTATGGCTCTAATTTCAGCTTGAAAAGCTAATTTCATGAACAGGCATTAGCTCCAACATTTATAATATTTTTTTCCTGCACTTATTAACCCCACATTGGCAGAGGATTTCTTTATCTGGCACAGTTCCAGGTTCATAACCATAATCCCATGTTAATTCTGTTCTTGCTTTCACATACCTAGAAAGTAGAAATTAAAAAAATAAATTACCCTGAATAAACCAAACTTGACTACATTAATTTTCATGTTAACATCATTAACCATCCTCAAAAATATGTTTATTCTCTCTGACACCCACCCATTAGGACTGCTCTTTCATTAAAAGAATAATCATTTGAGTTTTATTTCAAATGTGCTAAAATCCTAAGTAAGAAGAAATCTGTCAATATCTACGAAGAAGGAACCTGGTGACGTGATGAGGCCTGCAGTGTGGTATTTGAGTGTAGACATTATGCCCATGTAGCAATTTGCATCATTTATCCCCTGAATTGAACAGGGTGAGAACTGCCATCCTTAGCCCTTTCAAGCATTAGCTCTAAAAGGAAATAAGAATTGAAATTTCAGCTGTTTCAAATTTTGCTGAGTAGGAAGAGTTTGGGATAATTGAATATTCTAGAGTACTAGATATTAGGGGCCATAGCATGTATCTTTTCATATTTTTCTTTTCTTTTTTTGCTTCCATCCCTGTCCCTCTCTAGTTTCTTTTCTTCTTCTATTGTTGTTTTTAAAGTCACAATTTCATAGTTATATCATAAAAAATTTCAAACCTGTTGGTGAAGAATGCCACCAATGGAAAATTCCTGTCATGTGTTTCTACAAAAACATTCTGTACCAAAAGATTTGGGCAACAACTATGCTGTTAAAAAAAAAAAATTAAAACAGAGGTTAGATACAGCATACAGTTTGATGTCTTGTTCTTTGAAGCATTAGAATACCATTGTTTCCAACAAAGCTCGCTTATTTTTGTTTCTTTTGCTTTTCTGTTGACTAATATGTAAAATATCATAGCTTACTACAATCCAGTTAATAGTAGGAGTCTATTCAGAAAAGCCTGTCACATTCTTATATCCTGCTGGTAGAAATGCAAAATGGTATAAATCCCTAAAGAAGATAATTTGTCAAGATTATTCAATATTATAAATGCATTATCTTTTGATTCAGTAATCCCATATTTGATAATGTATTCTATAGATACATCTATACATATACCTGTGTGTAAGATTATTCATCAAGCATTGTTTTAACAGTAAAAGTTTGGAAACAACCCAAAAGAATATCTATATATATAAAACCCTAATATGCAAATAGACTGAACGGCAGAACTGGTCACTATGACGTGTGCTGACCACCAGGGGGCACGTGCAGAACATGGCGAGCATCAGCCACGGTGGGATGGTGGAGCAGGTGAGTGGTGGCGCCAGACTAAGGTGGGGCACCAGTCGCCATGATCGGGGTGAGCCTCTGGTGGTTACTGAAAATTCTTTGCTCCTGCGCGCTGTGATCCCGCCCACTTGCACCTGCAGCCGGCACTGGAGCCGCCGCTCGAACCCACTGCCAGCACCTGGCGCCGGTCCCGATCACTTGGTGCTGTCAGCCAGTGCAAATGGCGGCGGCCGGCCCTGATCACCCCTGAGGGCTTCCCCACCTCCCCCTGCTCCTGAGGGGTGATCGGGGCAGCAGCCGCTGCTTGCACCCGCTGACAGTGCTGGCCCCACTCACACCCACTGATGGCGCCAGCCTCAATTGTTCCGCGCTGTCAGCAGGTGCGAGTGGGGCCAGTGCCGTCAGCACGTGGGAGCAGCAGTGGTGGGAGCGGGGCTGCCGGCAGAAAGGGGACCGGGGCCGCTGCTGGAGGGGCTGGACGGGGGCGTGGAGGATGGGCTGAGACCCACCCCTGTGCCCACCGCAGCCTCGCAGCCCACAGTTCCTTTAAAGGTGCATGAATTCATGCACTGGGCCCCTAGTCTAAAGAGAATTGGTTAAATAAACTTCAGTATATCAACACAAAAGAATTCTATGCAGCTATGAGCAAAAAAAATGAGGAGCTCTCTCTGTGTAGTGATATGGAAAGATCTCCAGGGTATATTGTTAATTTAAAAACATGGTATAGGACAGTGACAATAATATGCTATCTTTTACGTAAGGACACATATTTATATTTACTTGTATTTGCATGAAGAAACACTGTAAGAATGAAAGAGAAAGTAATACAAATTATTACTATAGGTGGCACGGTAAATGTGGATATAGTATTTCTCACAGTATGTTTCTTTTTCTAACAAAACATAAAAGTTTAATATGAAAGACTGTCTATAACCAGAGTTTAACATCCTAGTGAAGAGGCCCTTTGGAAGGGGACATGTGCAAGCACTGCTGAACATAACCGTTACTTATACTTGTTCCAACAGTATCTACACATGATGATGCTATTTCCTCCTGTTACCATCTACCATTCTAATATTGTTCTATTGCCATCTCCACACATTCATCCATCACCAGATTCATAAAAGAATCAAATCCCCACAATATTCCTTGGACATGTGGGCAAGCTTTTCATTTCAATGATAATAACTTCCTGTCCATACATTTTTAAATTTGGGCCAATGAGCTTCACTCATGGTGCTTACTCGGCAGGCTTAGAGCTACCTTGAAACAGAATTCTGTTTAGCTATATGTATGTATTCTGCATGGCTTATTATTTTATTTCAATTTTTAAATCATATCAATGTATTATCTAGGTAGAAAAATTAAATTGAAAAAAAAGAGCAAGATAAAGAAAAAAAGAAAGAGCCTGTTTTTGTTGTTTTTTTCTCCTACAAAGGAGGGACCTGGCTCATGTGCTGATTGGGAGAGGTGAAACCAACTCAATTGTGTACGTACAGCCACCATTCAACATAACTGATGGGAAATAAAGCCATGAGAGTCCTTTGCTGGGGATCCTTATTTAATGGATTTCCTGACATGTTTGGCAGCAGTTTAGAAGTAGTCAAAGTGGAATAGAGAACAGCAGTTGGGGGACAAAGAAGGGGAAGAGATAATTATTTATTCCTTGTTAATCAAGTATTCTAACTGGGAAAGAAAAAAAACAAACCAAATTAGCAGATTCACCTAGCAAGGAAAAAGTTCTTTGGTTATATTTATTTTTTAAAATATATTTTTATTGATTTCAGAGAGGAAGGGAGAGGGAGAGATAGATAGAAACATCAATGATGAGAGAGAATCATTGATCGGCTACTTCCTGCATGCCTGACACTGGGGATCAAGCCCGCAACCCGGGCATGTGCCCTGACCCGGAAATGAACCATGACCTCCTGGTTCATAGGTTGACACTCAACCATTGAGCAACACTCGCCAGGCAAGCTCTTTGGTTTTAAAGATTTCCTGACTTACGAATATTTTTTCTTCTGATGGCAGCTGAATTACATGTAAAATTATCAGTGCACATAAATTTCAAACCATTCAAATGTCACATTTAAAGAGGCACTGAGCTTACCTTAAAGATGTCAAAGGGAATGCTTATGAGAATCATGGGCCATTCATGCTTCCCTTCCTTCACCTTTATTTTAGGGGAAAAGTCAAGGCGGCCCATCCACTAATCCCTTCCCACCGGGAGGAAGAAGAGCTCTGATACAGACAATAGAGAACAATTAAGGCTGCATCCAGGGGACAATGTGCTATAGTGGACCTTTCCAAAGGATGTGAGGAAGGATCAAAGTCCTTATCCTCCTTCCATGACTCTTCACTCTCTTGGATATGATAAGCAGACAAAGTGGAGTCCAGAGATCAGGGAGCCATGCAGAAGGGCCTGGCTGAGCTCTCAAACAGATGGTTCAGGGTTTCCCCATGGTTCAGTCACTAAAGACTGGAAAGACTATATAGACAATGGAACTAAAGGTTGAAGGAGATTTCTTTCCCTTATAGGATTCCTGGGACCATATAATGCCTGATAGTAGGAGGCGGGACAGAATAAAAGTCACAAGGTAACATCAATTTCACCTTACACAAGAGATATGACCAATAATACAAATTACTCCTCTTATCATGAAGATAACAGGAGTCTTAAGTGTTAATTAACCTTGAAATCAAAGGAATCATACATAATTCTCTATATAAATGAAATAAATCTTCTTAGATATATCCCAAACATACACACAAACAGAAAATGACTATGGTTTGGGAATTTAAAAAAAGAGGATAGTTATATGCAATATTCTGATAAATGTACTGGTTTTCTACACTAAACCATGAAGTCACTCAAAACTTACTAAAAGTAAGTAAAATAAATATCTACAACTGATTTTTTTGAACTATTAGAGGCATCTCTGAAGAAGAGCTACTGTATTATATAAGACTCAAAAGAGAAACTTACTCTATGTGTCCCACTGTGATTTTTTTTGGAAGTAACAAATCTTTCAATAAACGAAAATAATTTTCTTACATACCATTTATATAATTTTCTTAAGCAAATGTTTAACAATGTGCCAGGTACTGTTTAAGCACTTTACATACTATATATAACTCATTTAATTCTATGAGTAAGTTATTATTATTATCCCCATTTTATAGAAGTCAGAAATAAGGTATGAGGTCAAGTAACATGTCCAAGGTCATACAAGTGAAAAACTGGCATCCCAATCCAGGTAATCTGGCATTAGAATTTGTTAATCATATTTTCCTTATAATTTTATTAAAAAGCACACACAAAAATGTTTAGAAATATAAATCTCAGCCCATATACTCACATTAAGAAAGCGGCCCACATTTCCTTCCTTTGTGGCATCCAATAAAAACACACTTCCTTTACTGAACTTGAGAGATTCACATGAAGTATTATTCTTGGTTTCACCTGGCAACTCTTTATTACAAAAGACATAATGGTTTTGACATGCTGGAGAGTTTTCCTCTTGGGGCTTTAGTATTTGAACCTCAAACTTCTTCATAATATTCTGATTATCCAATGTGGTTGCTTGGTTACATATGCCCCCTGGTGAAGTTTCTTCTCTACCTTTAGTTATATCTATCACATCTGATTCAATCAGCAAATTGTCTTCAGAATCTTCAACTTGATTTGAACTTGAGTCCGCTAATAAACATTTTAGAAAGAATCGTCAGGAAATATACTTGGCTAAGCAATAGTGCTAAGATTAACAATGCTAAATAAATGCTAGTTGCTTTAATTACCACTAATCCTTAGAATGTGTTAAGGCAGACAGCACTCCAATTTTATATATAAAAACTTTGAGCCTCTGAGGGATTAAGGGATTCACTTGACCCACAATAATAAAGAAATTGGGTAACAAACTCAGAAATGTCTGGTTCCAAAGCCTGCCTTCTTTCTACTACATAACAATGCCTTTTAATGAACTTACATGTTGCTTCCTGACTTCTCTTCCATTTTGGATTGTGAATTTAAGTATATTCTAAATTTTTAAAAATTGATTTTAGAGAGAGAGGGAGAAAGCAGGAGGGAGGGAAGCGGGAGGAGAAAGTGGAGGGGGAGGAGAGAGAAGGGAGGAAGGGAGGAGAGGGAGGGAGGGATAGAGAGAGAGAGAGAAGAGAGAGAGAGAGAGAGAGAGATCCATTTGTTGTCCCATTTATTTATACATTCATTGGTTGCTTCTTGTATGCGCCCTGACCAGGGATGAAACCTGCAACCTTGATGTATCAGAATGCTCTAACCCAGTGGTCGGCAAACTGCGGCTCACGAGCCACATGCGGCTCTTTGCTCTTTGGCCCCTTGAGTGTGGCTCTTCCACAAAATACCACGTGCGGGCGCGCATGTAGAGTGCGATTGAAACTTCGTGGCCCATGCCCAGAAGTCAGTATTTTGTGGAAGAGCCACACCCAAGGGGCCAAAGAGCCGCATGTGGCTCACGAGCCACAGTTTGCCGACCACTGCCAACTAAACAATCCAGCCAAGGCTAAGTATATTCTAAACAGCTGTAACAGTGGTTTGTAGGGAACACTCCAGGCCTTTAAGACACCAAAGGCCTGAAAAGACCCTGTTGAAATCATCCTCCACAATAACTGTATTGCTATAGGCCAGGGGTGGGCAACCCCTGGCACGTGTGCCAAACATGGTACGCCAGTAACTTTTGCTGGCATGCAAAACCCTCTCTTATAATCTTCCATTTACAATTTTTTTCTTAATATCGACTTTTTTTATTTTTCAGATAAATTCAGTGTAGGTGCATCTTAGGGATTGACAAGAGAGGGGAAGAGCAATTTCTATGCCTCTGCCTTAACTCTCCCTGCCTTCCTAGATCCGACCAGTGTTTTGGTTTCATCCACATACGCTTGTGAATCTTTGTTCTCAGTGATGAATTTTGTTAAGTCTCGTAATAGGAGTAGCCTGACGAATGAAAGTAGTAGCTCGTGCATATCTCTGAAGGTCACGAAATATAAACCTGATGTAAAATCTCTGTCATCAGTGTTGCAGCAGCAAAAGTCCCACTGGTAATATCAAACGGAATCATAAAGTTTTCTGTCGGACTATCAGTGTACATGTATACATTAAAAAATAAATGTATTTTTCATAATCATATACTGTGTTTTTGTTGCTCGAATGAATTTTATTATTTCTTCAAGGTTCTTCACATAGGTACACTTTAAGAGATATCAAGTATATGTTCTCAAAATATTAGGGCTGGCACGCAGAAGAATTTGAGTCAGAGATTTTGCTGGTTTTGGCATGCACTCACAAAAAGGTTGCCCACCCCTGCTATAGGCTTTGTACACATTAGTGTTTGGTGTGTATTCTAGACGACCATTCAATAATCACACTTTTACAAACAATAATACTTTAGAAGAAGATTAACTGCTTAATCATTTTTAGAAATAATTTTTTAGAATATTCAAAAGTATGAATGCATGTCAAATGAAATAAATCATTTATTTTTAATAAAACTTGTACCACATCAGTGGCATAAAGAAATATTTCTCTGTTACTGATTTAATCATTACTATTGCTGGCTGCTGTTCCTATACGTACTCATACTTTAATCATAGATTACTTGTGAGCACTAACAGTAAATAACTATTTTTTTCTTAGTGCCTCCTATATACATTATAGTGATCAATGAAAATGGCAAAACAACCAAAAGCAATAGCACTCATTATGATACACATGCATTAAAATGGTGAAGAAAATCAGAATATGTCATCCCAAAATATGCCGCTTTGACATAAGAATTATTTAAATAGCACATGTAGGAAAAGCTCTCTGCCTCCCCCTATTCTGCCTAAAAGCAGGATATAAATTTACAAAGGTGTGCCTTCTCCTACTAGAAAGGACAAAAGTTAATCACCGGTGACAATTTTAGACCTTGATTATCCTTGAGACTGAACCAGAGAAATCTAGGAAACAAACTTTACTAACTAGTCTGTATCTACCATTGGTTTCCCATATATTTGCCTTCCCACAATTTGCCACCCCTAAAGACTAAAGGTCCTTTTCCTTTGTCTTGCTATGCCTCTAAAAATTTATTGTTCTTTGGCTAAGATTCTAAATAAGCAGGAATTCTAAACCATCTGAGTTACTTATCTCTGAGTATAGCAGTCCCCCCTTATATGTGGGAAATACATTCCAAGACTCCTAGTGAATGCCTGAAACTGCGGATAGTACTGAATCCTATACTGTTTTTTCCTACACATACATACCTATGAGAAAGTTTAATTTATAAATTGGGCACAGTAGGAGATTAAAAATAACTAATAGACTAATTATAATATACTGTAATAAAAGTTATATGAATGTGTTCTCTCTCAAAATACCTTATTGTAATGTACTCCCCTTCTTGTGATGATTTGAGATGGTACAATGCCTATGTGAGGAGATGAAGTGAATGATGTGGACATTGTGATGTATAGTTAGGCTACTATAAGGGTTACTTGAACATAATCACTGCAATATTGCAACAGTCAATCTGATCAATGAGATGGCTACTGAGGCAAGTAGCATATATAGTGTGGATACCCTGGATAAAGGGGTGTCCTAGGTAGTATGGAGTGAGATGACACAAGATTTCATTATGCTACTCATAATGGCATGCAATTTAAAACTTATGAATTGTTTATTTCTGGAATTTTCCATTCAATATTCCTGGGCTGTGGTTAATATGGGTAACTGAAAACATGGAATGTGAAACAGTGGATAAGGGGGACTACTGTAGTCCCTTGTGTTACATGTACAATACACATGATGATAGTAATAAACTTCTGTTTGTTTTGTCAGTCTAATTTACAGGACCCCCGCCCGTCAACATAAGATAGGGAGAGGAAGAGAGTTTTACCTCCCCTACAAGGTGAAATAATTACAATACATAAATGCCTTCTCTTGATAGACCTTTTCAGTCAAGGAGTTTCCTTGCCTCCTCCAATCTCCATCCTTTGAGACCAGGCAGAGAAATGGGAGTACAGATATAAGGAAGCTCAAAAGAAGAGGTAATGAGTCATCTCTCAGCAATGTCTCCCCACTCAGGGATATAGTGAAATGCAAAAGGACCCAAACCCAGGTTTGTCAAGTTGTAATATTAGCTATGGCAGGATTGGTAACACTGAAATAAAAGAACTCAGGGTAGCAATATTTTCACTTTTTGCTGAGCATCCCCAGCAGCAGTGTTGGCTGGAATACTGCAGTAGAATGCAGTGGTTTTTTTTTTTTGTCTTTTTAATGCTGTATATATATATTTTTCCATTTAAATATTTATTTATTTTTTATTGCTTAAAGTATTACAAAGGGTATTACATATGTCTCCTTTTTTTCCCCGCCCTTGACAATCCCCTGGCCTCCCCTACCTGCCCCCCCCCTCCCCCCAGTGTCTTATGTCCATTGGTTATGTTTATATGCATGCATGTAAGTCCTTCGGTTGATCTCTTACCGGCCCCCTCCCCGCTTCTCCCCCCCTACCCTCCCCGGCCTTCCCGCTGCAGTTTGACAGTCTGTTTGAGGCAGCTCTGCCTCTGTATCTATTTTTGTTCATAAGTTTATAATGGTCTTTATTATCCATGAATGAGTGAGATCATGTGGTATTTCTCCTTCATTGACTGGCTTATTTCACTTAGCATAATGCTCTCTAGTTCCATCCATGCCGTTGCAAATGGTAAGAGTTCCTTCTTTTTTACAGCAGCATAGTATTCCATCGTGTAGATGTACCACAGTTTTCTAATCCATTCATCTACTGATGGGCCCTTAGGCTGTTTCCAGATCTTAGCTATGGTGAATTGTGCTGCTATGAACATATGGGTGCATATATCCTTTCTGACTGGTGTTTCTGGTTTCTTGGGATATATTCCTAGAAGTGGGATCACAGGGTCAAATGGAAGTTCCATTTTTAGTTTTTTGAGGAAACTCCATACTGTCTTCCATAGTGGCTGCACCAGTCTGCATTCCCACCAGCAGAGGACGAGTGTTCTTTTTTCTCCACATCCTCTCCAGCACTTGTTGTTTGATGATAGCCATTCTTACAGGTGTGAGATGGTGCCTCATTGTTGTTTTGATTTGCATCTCTCGGATGATTAGTGACTTTGAGCATGTTTTCATATGTCTCTTGGCTTTCTGAATGTCCTCTTTTGAAAGGTGTCTATTTAGATCCTTTGCCCATTTTTTGATTGGATTCTTTATCTTCCTTTTGTTAAGTTGTATGAGTTCCCTATAAATTTTGGAGATTAGGCCCTTATCAGATATGACATTGGCAAATATGTTTTCCCACACAGTGGGCTTTCTTGTTGTTTTGTTGATGGTTTCTTTTGCTGTGCAGAAGCTTTTAATTTTGATGAAGTCCCATTTGTTCATTTTCTCTTTAGTTTCAAGTGCCCTAGGAGCTGTATCAGTGAAGAAATTGCTTCGGCATATGTCTGAGATTTTGTTGCCTTTGGATTCTTCTAGAATTTTTATGGTTTCCTGTCGTACATTTAAGTCCTTTATCCATTTGAGTTTATTTTTGTGTATGGTGTAAGTTGTTGGTCTAGTTTCATTTTCTTGCATGTATCCGTCCAATTTTCCCAACACGATTTATTGAAGAGACTATCTTGACTCCATTGTATGTTCTTGCCTCCTTTGTCAAATATTAATTGAGCATATTGGTTCGGGCTAATTTCTGGGCTCTCTATTCTATTCCATTGATCTATATGTCTGTTCTTGTGCCAGTACCAGGCAGTTTTGAGAACAGTGGCTTTGTAATACAGCTTGATATCTGGTATTGAGATCCCACTTACTTTGTTCTTTCTCAGGATCACTGCAGCTATTCGGGGTCTTTTTTTTTATTGCAGATGAATTTTTGGAGAGTTCGTTTTAGATCTGTGAAATATGCCATTGGTATTTTAATGGGAAGTGCGTTGAATTTATAGATTGCTTTGGGTAGTATGGACATTTTGATGATGTTTATTCTACGATGTTTATTCTACCAATCCATGAATACGGTATGTTCTTCCATCTCTTTATGTCTTCCTCTATCTCTTTTTTCAACGTCCGGTCTTTTACCTCTTAGTTAAGTTTATTCCTAGGTAGCTTAATTTTTTTGGTGCGATGGTAAATGGGATTGTTTTTTTAGTCTCTCTTTCTGAAAGTTCACTATTGGTGTATAGAAATGCCTTAGATTTCTTGGGGTTAATTTTGTATCCTGCTACGTTGCCAAATTCATGTATTAAGTCTAGTAGTTTTTTGATGGAGACTTTAGGGTTTTGTATGTATAATATCATGTCATCTGCAAATAAGGACAGTTGTACTTCCTCTTTTCCAATTTGGATGCCTTTTCTTTCTTCTTCTTGTCTGATTGTTATGGCTAGCACTTCCAGTACTATGTCGAACAGGAGTGGTGAGAGTGGGCATCCCTGTCTTGTTCCTGTTCTTAGGGGAAATGCTGTAATTTTTTGTCCATTAAGTATGATATTGGCTGTGGGTTTGTCATATATGGCTTTTATTATGTTGAGGTATGATCCTTCTATTCCCACCTTGCTGAGAGTTTTTATCAAAAATGGGTGTTGGATTTTGTCAAATACTTTTTCTGCATCAATTGATATGACTATGTGGTTTTTTTCTTTCAATTTGCTTATGTAATGTATCACGTTTATTGATTTTCGGTTATTGTACCATCCTTGCATCCCTGGGATAAATCCTACTTGGTCATGGTGTATGATCTTTCTGATGTACTGCTGGATCCAATTTGCTAAGATTTTGTTGAGGATTTTGGCATCTGTGTTCATGAGGGATATTGGCCTGTAATTCTCTTTCATTGTGTTATCTTTACCTGGTTTTGGTATTAGGGTAATACTGGCTTCATAGAATGAGCTTGGAAGTGTTCCTTCCTCTTGAATTTTTTGTAGTAGTCTGAGGAGGATAGGTTTTAGTTCTTCCTTGAATGTTTGGTAAAAACTCCCCTGTAAAGCCGTCTGGTCCTGGGCTTTTGTTTGCTGGAAGCTTTTTGATGACTGTTTCAATTTCTTCCATAGTTATTGGCCTATTGAGATGTTTAGATTCTTCCTGATTGAGTTTTGGAATGTTGTATTTTTCTAGGAATATGTCCATTTCCTCCAGGTAGTCTAGTTTGTTGGAGTAGAGATGTCCGTAGTATTGTTTAACAATCATTTGTATTTCTGTGGGGTCTGTTGTTATTTCGCCTCTATCATTTCTGATTTGGTTTATTTGTGTCCTCTCTCTTTGCTTCTTGGTGAGCCTGGCTAGAGGTTTGTCAATCTTGTTTATCCTTTCACAGTACCAGCTCTTGGTTTCATTGATTTTCTGTATTGT